GATTGGGGGAGTCTGGCAGCTTGCAGCGGAGGTCGTTAAATTTCCTGACAAGTATGCCAGACTGAAAAAAAACAAAAAAAAACATACATTTTGGATTATTGAAAACTCAGCAGATAAAAATAAGTTTATTCTGGAAATGTCAGAATCAAATAGCTATAAATATATAATTGGCATTTCACTATGAATAACAAAATGCTACAAAAGAAAATATCATAATTGGATTAAAGCAAAAAATTTAATTAAAATACAGTGAAAAGACGACACGATTTATGTCCAAATGACATCTACGGGCTGGTTGTAAAGTGAAAGGTGAAAAAACATAATTTTCAGCTCGATGAAAGTTATTGGACCACCACAACCAAATTTTGTAATTTCTGGACTAAATCAAGATGGACTGACAGGATGTAATCTGAAAACCAATGTCTAAAAAATATTTGCCGTTTTTTAAAGCTTAAACTTCAAGACTAAATAAATCACATTTTCACCTACAGCCATAATGGATCAGATCGAGACCATTTCTTGATTACAATAAAGCAATGTAAACCTCAATTCAATTGTTGAAAGGAATATGTATTCTCTTCTGTTAATTCTTTAAGGTCCATCTCTGGTTGGCAAGAAATGGGTCAGTAAAACCCAATGATATGTATTTTTTCCACCCCTTGAAATCAAGGAACTTAGATAGAAATTCAGCTCCTTCCTTCTGACATCTAATTGCATATGGGTGAACAAAGGTTTAGGGCAAAAACTGAGAAGGAACGAGCAAAAAATAATTGGACTTCCCTCCCCCAGTTTTTACAGAAACCCCCTTTTATTCTTGTTCACACACTTAATTAACTCAAGCCAAGTCAGGAGGCCTGAAGAGAAAACCTGCTGTTTGGACAAAAAAGACCAGCAACATATTGTCTCCTTTACATATGTAGATGCAAATAGCGCTGGTGGCTCCAGCCAATGTAATGAAGCCCTATAAAAAAGCTGGCAAAGTCATTCATTCATAAAATCCCAATGTGTGTCTATTACTCTAATTACAGAGGATGTCGGTCCCAATTAGCACACTGTTTTTCTTCTGTTTCATTCTTGATTAACGGAGCCATGTTAATTACAGGTTTCTTAAGAGGGGGTATTGATGCATTAGCAGTCCCACACACCATGCTGTTAAAGGCATCCATCCTACCTTGTTGCAGAACTTTGCTGTACATAGGCAAGCCTCCTTGCTCCACAGAGTGCTTGCCTTTCTTCATTCATCTGTATGTTGCCATTGACTTGTACTTGTCCAGCAACAGCATTAGTTGAACGGGAGCCTTTGTGTTTCATAATTAAGGAGAAAAAGAAAAGCTGAAATAAATCCAGAGAAAGAAAAAGAAAGTTAAGAAGGCTTGAGCAGGTCTAGGGCTGTGGCAAGTAGTGGTGCCACGTGTTAATTACACATGTAAAGCCTATTACATCCAGAGAGAACACCTGCTGGCAGAGGAAATGAGGCCTTCGTCAGTGCCTGCCACATAGAGTAAAACGAACCCTCAGCCTGCCAAGGAGATGATAGTGCTCTGATTATAGTTTTAGGTGGTGCCTGGATTGGAGGGCATACTTAACATTCAAATCATTCTCCATGGAGCAGTCACAGGTTGAAATTGAAATGTTCCAGAGTCAGGTGCTATCAGTTAGAATGCACAGCAACCACTGCTGTGCCAGGTCATTGTCACAGAAAAGGTGTTTTAGATGGGAGAAGACTGTGATCAGTATGTGTACAAATGAGAGCTCTATGTTGCAACACATTTAGTTAGATATTCTGTAGGGTCCAGTATGTTTGCAGTGTCTTGTAATATATTTATTGAAAACGTATTGTAGTGTGGTCAGCTGCCAGTAATTATTATTTACAGTTTCAAGAACACATACGCATTACTCTATGGTTGAGTAGATTTGTGTTAGCCCAAAATCTAACGAAACAATGGAAATGGTGCTACTAATAGTTTTACTGCAGTGCTTAATTTATGTGTGTTGTGCTTATTATGCCAAGGGGTGGTGCTGTTCTTTTTCAAGACTTGCCCTCATCCTATAAGAGCCGATAAAAACGCAATGACAATGTACAGGAAGCACAAGACATTTGCTTTGTCAATGTACTGCCCCTTTTAAGCATAATCAAGGTGACCAAAGCTTAAAGCCGCAGCTTGTGAGATTTACCTCCATCTAGTGATGCACTTGAATGAATTACAAAAAAACTAACTGTTGCCTAATCTCAAGTACGACGGAGTATTAGGGCCACACATGAAAAGAAAAAATATTTTTGCCATGACGAGATTAAACTCGACATGTCGACTTTAAAGTCGACATGTCGACATTAAACTCAACATTTCGAGAATTAAGTTGAAATGTCATGTTTAGTTTAATCTCGACGTGTTGACTTTAAACTCGCCATTTCGAGAATAAAGTTGATATATCGTGGCGACTTTAATCTCGACATTCCAAAGTTTGGAGAAAAGAGCAACCGCGCTCCACAGCTGCAGTCTGCGTTTTAAGAGTGAAGGTAGTCTTTGACGTGCTGCAACTGTATAACTGTATAATCATCACAGAAAGTACAATTTGACCAAATCATCTACACAAGGCATGTCTGATTCTGGATTCTGTGCATGTATCCTGTGCAGCGGTTGGCTCTCTTGAACTAATTTCAACTTTATTGTCGACACGTCGAGATTAAACTCAACATGACATTTCAACTTTATTCTCGAAATGGCGAGTTTAAAGTCGACAGGGCGAGTTTAAAATCGACACGTCGAGATTAAACTCAACATGACATTTCAACTTTATTCTCGAAATGTTGAGTTTAATGTCGACATGTCGACTTTAAAGTCGACATGTCGAGTTTAATCTCGTCATGGCAAAAATATTTTTTCTCTTCATGTGTGGCCCTAATACTCTGTCGTACTCAAGGGTTTGAGACCTTCTGAGCCAACATTCATGAGCTGGTATGACTCCTGCAAAAATACCAGCAACTAAGAACTGTTGCATCAAATGTCATCCAGTGTGGGATAACCAACAAACTAGACATATTTTCCAGGGGGACAGAATAGTTGCCGATTACACTGCACTGTTTCAAATGGAATGCCTGAGAAAAACAACTTTACTGTTATGTTGATTTACTTCACATTTGACAGAAAGTGTTGATATCCAGGAAGATGCTGTTTAAGATTCCCAGCCATCCAGGTCATAGTAATTCAATACAGTTAGATCCTATTCTAATAGCACCCTATTTGGAAGATATCTAGAGAAATTCGGACAGATCTGATTTGTCAAAGATCCTTTAACACTGTCCATAGAGTTCCTTGACAGTCTCGTTTCTAAGTCACCAATTTAGTACTACTTGGTCCCAATGTAATTTCCCATTACAGGCTTTGTTGGGCTACTCCATAAAGCTTAGAACTTAACGCTATTCCATACATTTTGAATTGAAAAGGCTTCCTGGATGGGAAGTGAAACATCTTCAAACTTGGAAAACAAAGTCCAGTTTTTTTTTTCCTTACTTTTTTTTATTATTTTTATTTTTTTGAAATAACTAAACCTGGATGACTGAAAATCTTCATCAGCATCTCATGTTTACATCCAGTATTGTATAAACGAAGTTTTCATGTGCAAATGTATTTGTTATTTAATCAAAATACTGCAATTGTAACACTGCATTTTTTAATTTAGCAGCATATCAACACATTTTCACACACATTGGTAAATGGAAATACAGATATTGTTGGCCTTAAAGCATATTTTATAAAAAAGTCTGAAGCTGATACCACACAAAAGACCAACAACAATATCGGTACATAATGAAAAGTTATACACTTAAACAGATTTATTTGTCATTTTGTTTACACAAGTGTAAAACAAAAAGAAATTTCTTTTGGAACTGCTCTCTGGACAATTTCATCTTTTTTTAAATGTGCAGTCTTGAAAAATAGTTTAAAAAAATGAAATAAAAACAGTAATATAAACATATAACTGTAAATTTAAAGGTCTAAATTTTTTATTTTTGTGTATAATAATAAAATACAATACAATAACCCATTTTACAAAAAATTCAGCAGTCTAATGGCAGTGGGGAAGAAACAGTTGTGGAATCTGCTCGACCTGCATCCAAAGCTTCGAAGTCTCTTCCCTGAGGGCAGCAGGGAGAACAGTCCATGGTGGGGGGATGAGGGGTCATTTATAATGTTACAGGCTCGGGACACGCAGTGCTGGGATTAAATGTCTTTTACAGAGGGAAGAGGAGCCCCGATGATCTTCTCTGCTGTTCTCACCACTCCCCTTACTTTCTTCCAGTCTGAGGCGCTGCAGCCTCCACACCACACAGTGACACGGCTGTTCAGAACGCTCTCTATTGTGCTTCTATAGAAGGTGGTGAGGAATGGTGGTGGCAGGTGGGCACTCCTCATCCTCCATAAGATGTACATGCGCTTTTGTGCCCTTTTGATCAGTGAGGTGGTGTTTACATTCCAGGTGAGGGTGCACTACCAGGAATTTGTTGCTGTTGACCAACTCTACAGCTGAGCTATTGATGACCAGTGGAGCACGGTTAGGCCAATTCTTTCTGAAGTCCTAGATGATCTCCTTCATCTTCTCAATGTTCAGGATCAGGCTGTTATCTTTACACCAGTCCATCAGCTGTTCCACCTCCTCTCTGTAGTCCAGGTCGTTGTCGTCTCTGATGAGACCCGCCACTGTGGTGTCATCTGCAAACTTCCTGATGTGATTGCTGGTGAACCTGGGGACGCAGTCATGTGTCATCAGTGTGAAGAGCAGGGGTCTCAGGACGCAACCCTGAGGGGAGCCTGTGCTTAGACTGATGACATCAGAGGTGTTCTGTCCAACCCTGACTGACTGAGGTCTGTTGGTGAGGAAGTCTAGCAGCCAATTGCAGAGGGGTGTATTGAATCCCAGCTGTTTCAGTTTTCCCATCAGATGCTGTGGGATGAGGGTGTTAAAAGCTGAACTGAAGTCCAGGAACAGCATCCGCACGTGAGTGTTCTTCTCCTCCAGGTGTGCCAGGCAAGGGTGGAGAGCATCAGTGATGGCATCCTCAGTGGAGCGGATGCATCGGCAGGCAAACTAGAATGGGTCGAATGTTGGCGGCATCAATGGTAAATTAAATTAAAACAAAACGAGTTATGCCAGGTGATTTTTCAATAGTTAGTGCACCAGTTACATAATAATTTGTTGTTATCTTTGCTTTGTCCAAACATCTTTTTTGGGTTTCTACATTTTTGGCAGTGTTACTATGTTAAGAAAAAAACAATAATCTCCGCCAGACACTTTTCTCATTAGACATAAACAGTTTGCGATTTTTTCCCCCATGCTATGCAAGGGTGTTTACAAAACTGTCCAATAACGATTGTGCCATATGTTATTTGCTGTTCTTCAATATCCCACAGTTCAACCTATGTTACCTCTGAAAACCCTGTCTACTCCATATGTTTTGCAAACTAAGTAGCCCGTATAACCATGCTCAGTGGTGGGAATGGCAGAGGCTGCAGGACGGGTAGAAGGAGAGGATAGGCAGTGCTGGCTCATTCATGCGAAAGCGGCCGACAATGCTTGTGGTCATTATCAAAGCAAAAGTCTGAATATTGTTTGACCAATTAGTTTTGATCCTGAAGGAAAATACTGTAGACCGAGGATAGGCATAGCTCTGTATGTAGCCCATTTAAATGGACACGCATATTTGCATGTAACAGAGCAGATCCTTACAATCCTACACACACAAAAAGGATAACTTGTCAAAAAGCATTTTGTGTTTATTTTTGATATATCTAGTTCCCATTCTTGAATTTGTCTCTGTCTGTTCCAATTTCTTTAAACTTAAGAGGACAAATTTAACAAAAAAAAAACCTTAATGTCATTATGAAAGCTTAAAACAAATTTTCAGATACTCTAGGCTTCAAATGTTCACCTTATATGCATTTAAAATAAAATAAAAAACATATGTGAAAACATAAAACACCCTTTCGATAAAAATATGTTGCATACATATTGTCATTATGTTGGCACCTTTAGGCTTAGTTTTACTCCGTGTTGCTCTATTCTGCTTTGCTCATTATGTCTCATCAGATCCACCTGTTCCTGCTGCTATTTAAGCCTCTTGATCCCAGCTTTTGGTGCCAGATTAGATGAGCTTGCACTGAGACAAACTCCAGCATTACCTGTGTTTAGTTCTGCCTATTACTGACCTGTTTCTCCCCACAGACCTCTGAGATTTTGCTGCACCTCTTTTGCTCTGTTTGCCTGTCCTATGTTTCCGGACTGTTACCTCAATTCTGTCTGTTGTCGACCTTGGTCCTGTCTTCTGACCATGGCTTGGATTAACCCTCCAACATCCTTGGTTTCTTTGCATGCTCTGGCTGCTGCAAGATGCTGATCCTCTTCTCTCCTGGATCTCTGGTACTGATTCAGTAACAAGCAACGAAGTTCTGCTCGGACTGCACACCATCTTCTGGGCACAGACTGGACTTTGGCAGGTTGGTGGCTTTCATGCTCATTGTTGTTCCTCAGCTTTTGAAGTCACTGACCTGAGCCTCTACTCTTGCAGAGACTCCAGTGAGCCTGCCAAAGCAGATGAGTAGCTGCACACTTTGTCCTGGGATAGTGTACAGGATCATCTGTGCAAAGTATGGGCTGGAAACCCTGAGGTCAAAGTGGGAAACACCTATGAAGATGGTGGAGAATGGCCAGGCCGAGATCCTGTGTGACTTCCATATACAGACAGACCAAATGGTAATGGCAAACCAACATGACATTGTGGTGGTGGACAAAAAGCAGAGGAAAGCAGTGTGGTTGACATGGCAATACCTAGTGACTGCAAAATCAGGAAAAAGGAACATGAGAAACTAGAGAAAACCAAGGGGCTCAGAGAAGAGCAGGAGAATACCTGGAAGGCATCAGTGGTGTCCGTGGTCATTGGAGCACTCGGGGCAGTGATACCCAAACTGACAGATATATAAATATATCAGAAATCTCGGACCATAAAAGTGCAGATCGAGGAACAGCAAAGATAGTGCTCAGAACCCTCAAGCTGCCAGACTGCTGGTAGAGGACACAAGCTTGGAGGAAAAAGGGAGACTGCCCACAGTGGGTGAGGAAGTTACATATATATATATATATATATATATATATATATATATATATACTATATGTATATAGACTCAATGTTCCCCACCTCCCTCAGAATTTCAAATTCAAAGCTCTGCCAGAGATGGGAGTTAAAGCTCCTTCTCACAGGGGACTCTGCCAGAAATTCCCAGCAAACCCTTATAATACGTTTGGGCCTACCAGGTCTGACCGGCGTCATAAATGTTTATGTAAATGTAAGTGTGCAGGTGCCAGTTGCCGATTGGTTTCGGGACGATGATGACATGACATCCCATTGGTGGCTTCCCGGAAGTGACAACTACAGTATAAAAAGGCTGCTGATGTGGACTTCCTGGTTCCGTCCTCCGCTCTTCTCAACTGGCCACATTGTTAGCACTCTGAATATTCTGGAGCTTGTAAGAGTGAGCTGCCATTTTTGTTGTTTAAGTTTTCTCCTGTTTTCTTAGTTAGGGAGGTAAGGTGACTGTCATTTGTTTACTTATACTGCAGTAGGTAAGTTGGTTCATTTCTTTGTTTTAGACAGTTGCCTTTTGTTTGTTATTTTTGGCGCATAGCTCTCTCTGAAGTCATTAGCTCCATTTATGTTATTACTTTAGAACTATTTTACTCTTTGTAAATAAATTACTTTCTAAACATGCACAACTTTGTATGTGTTAGCTGCTTGGGATGGGAAGAGGATGGATCAACTCTTTAATATGTTATGGTCTGGCACCGGACTTGATTTGTTTTTCGCCCCAAGATACACATCCGCTCTAAACTATCAAGGTTTTGAGCAATATTCTCAGTGTCGGAATTCAACGCACATGTATTTTTGCTTTACTGCTGCACCACCTTTGTGCCGAAACAAGGTATTTATAGTGATGATGCCAAAACTCTATTTGTCAAAGTCCCCTATGCAAATGCTCTAATTTTAAACTTGTATAGCTCAGAACATTAGGATCTAGTATTCAAGATGGACAAACAGATTTCTCAAAACATTCATGGAAAACAGAACTGCAGTGCACAGCGTCAGCATCTAAGGGCAGGAACATCTGCAGGAGGAGACAAGAGGTTAGTGACCACTTCTGTCTGGAAGTGGATGATAACAAACGTGAGAGTCACTAACATGGTTCTAATGTCCAAAGGGCAAAGCCAAAGCCAATGTTGAAGACGTGCTCAGGAGTCAGAGCCAAGAGATCAAAGGTCCAAAGAAATGGCAATGGGCAATCCAGAACGAAGTCCGGGAACATTTCCAGGATAGGTTCACAGACAGGCAGAGATCTAACAGGAGTCTGAAGACAGGTCAGGCAAACAGATTAGTGATGGGACATATGAAGTCAGGCTCTGAGATGTGTGCAGAGTAACAAGGGGGAGTGTCTAATGAAGCGTCGCTTCAATGCTAGTGGCGTCTTGCGGAAAACCATGTGACTGGAAACAATCGATGCCTCACATTACTGTTGTCACATCACTGCTTCATTTCACGTGTTGGATTTCAAAATAAAAGATAGCATCTGAGAGTATCATAACAGAATTATCGGAGAGAAGAAAGGAAGGCCGCTCCCATTTGGGAGTACTTTGAAAATGCTGCTCCAAAAAAGGTTTATTAAAGTGTGTTTGCACACTAACTTAGGGCAATTTCCTCATTAGCACTTACTTTGTGTCATTGGACATATAAGTTAGGGTTATTTCAGGTGAAGTGTTTTTGTGTTTGGAACTGGTCTACAGTGAAGAAACCTCATCAGTGCTTCAGCATTACAGACGATACATAAGAAATCATACACTACAAACAGGCACCAGCCTGAGTATGACATTTTTCCCTAAAATTATTTGATCTTGGTAGATATCTAACCCAATGAAATTGTTTTAATTTAACAATTTATTATTTAAAATGTCTAAATTAGCTGGCGAAGAAATACCTTAAACCAGACACTCTGAAAAAGTCTTATTTTTAGATAAAAATACCTAAAACCCAAATACTCATCCAGTAGAAATTTGAAATGTAGCTGTTTAATCAGCAATGACACATTATCACACAGGAGAAACAGACTGAATACTGTTTGAAGCTAACTATAAAGGATCTCAATGAGTCCCAGAGAAAGGCAATTTAGAAATGATTTTCCAGGAAATAAGTAATAAATAGACAGCATACAGTCCACCTTCTTTTCAAAAACCAATGCATGACAACTAAAATGACCAGTGATGACATGTTTAGCCGCATGTCGTCATTCAATCGCTGGTTGTCTAGGTGGTGTCCTGAAAACAACGTGGGCTACATTAATAATTGGCAATCCTTTTGGGGAAAGCCTGGTCTGATTCGGAGAGACGGCATCCATCCCACTTTGGATGGTGCAGCTCTTCTTTCTAGGAATCTGGCCACATTTATTAGTCCTCCAAAACCCTGACCACCCAGGGTGCAGACCAGGAAGCAGAGTTGTAGTTTAACACACATCTCTGCAGCTTCTCTACTGTTACCCACTCTTTACTCCATCCAGACAGTGTCTTGCCCACGACCAAAATCTAATAAATTAGCAAAGATTCCCAAAGGAGTAAATCATGATAATCTAATTAAAATCAAAATAACTCCAATTGGGGAAAAAGTTAAAACAATTAAATGCGGTCTGTTTAACATAAGATCACTTTCCTCTAAAAGTCTACTAGTTAATGACTTGATTTGTGATAATCACATTGACTTGTTTTGCCTTACAGAAACCTGGCTGCAGCAAGAGGATTATGTGAGCATAAATGAGGCAACTCCTTCAAGCTATTTAAATTTTCACATCCCCAGAAGTTCTGGGCGAGGAGGAGGAGTAGCAACAATCTTCGAGTCTGACTTACTGATTACTCCCAAAACAATTAATTCCTACAACTCTTTTGAACATTTAACCCTTAATTTCCCTGATCCAAATTTCAAGGCAAGAAAACCTCTTCTTTTTGTAACTTTGTATCGTCCACCAGGTCCTTACTCTGAATTTTTAGATGAGTTTTCAGAGTTCCTTTCTGATTTGGTATTAAATACTGACAGGGTCATCATAGTGGGAGATTTTAACATCCATGCTGACATTGAAGGCGATAGCTTAAGAGCAGCCTTTAATGCTATCTTAGACACTATTGGCTTTTTTCAAAATGTGAATAGTCCCACGCATTCTCATCTTCATACTTTGGATCTTGTGCTGACATACGGCATAGAATGTGAAGAAATAACAGTATTTCCTCACAACCCTGTCCTCTCTGACCACTTTCTAATAACCTTCAGGATTACTTTAACAGAGTTCTCCTCCCCCAAAAGAAGGTTCAATTTTAGTAGATCTTTATCAGATAGTGCAGTTATAAATTTTAAAGAATCTGCTTCACTTTCTCTCTGCTCTGTGTCACTGAGCAGTGCTGCAGAGTGCAAAAGCTTAGCTTATTCCCCTTCACAGGTTGATGATTTTGTTGAGGGGGTTGCTAGTTCTCTGCGTATTGCCTTAGACAACGCAGCTCCTTTGAAAATGAAAACCGTTAAAAATAGAAAGCTTGCTCCTTGGTTTAATGCAGAGCTGCGTACTTTGAAGCAAAATGCTAGGAAACTGGAGAGAAAATATCGCTCCACAGGCCTGCGAGAGTCCTTCCTAGTCTGGAAAAATGGTTTACTGCTGTATAAGAGGACCCTTTGTAAAGCAAGAGCAGCATACTTCTCCTCATTAATAGAGGAGAATAAGAATAATCCTAGATTTCTTTTTAATACAGTTGCCAAACTCACCCAGAGCCATAGCTCTGTTGAACCGTCCATTCCACCTGCTCTTAGCAGCAATGATTTTATGGGATTCTTTATAAATAAGATTGATCTTATTAAAAATAAGATCATAAGCACTCCTCTATCCGCGATTGTACCTGAGGTAGTCATGGAATCTGAACCGGGTTTAGACTGCTTTGATCCAGTTGAACTCTCTGAATTAGCAAAATTATTGTCTTCATCTAAGCCTTCAACTTGTATGTTAGATCCAGTTCCAACCAGGTTATTTAAGGAGGTATTCCCTTTGATCTCCTCCTCCATTTTAGATGTGATTAATCTATCTCTGTTACAGGGATATGTACCTAAAGCTTTTAAGATTGCTGTAATTAAACCTCTGCTTAAGAAACCGTCTCTTGACCCAGATGACTTGGTCAATTATAGACCTATATCCAATCTTCCTTTCTTATCCAAAATTCTTGAGAAAGTAGTTGCCAAACAAGTTTGCGATCACTTCCACCATAATGAACTTTTTGAAGAGTTTCAGTCTGGCTTTAGAGCTCATCATAGCACTGAAACAGCTCTGGTGAAAGTCACTAATGATATTCTCATGGCCTCAGATAATGGACTTGTATCTGTGCTCGTCCTGTTGGATCTTAGTGCTGCATTTGATACAGTTGACCATAATATTCTTTTAGAAAGACTTGAATATTTTGTTGGAATTAAAGGAACAGCACTAGACTGGTTTAAATCTTATCTATCTGATCGAATTCAGTTTGTTCATGTTAATGATAGATCTTCAACACGCTCAAAG